GTAAAGGCAATGGGGGAGAAATGTACTTTCAGACTTGCAAGATTCTGTTAATGTAACCTTATAAAGTAAAATTAGTTCATCTGGGTATGCTTCCTGTCTGGACTGTCTCACAAGGGTGACGAGTTCTTACTGCATACTTTTATTTTCAGGAAGGACAGACTTTATTTTTCATCTTTAGTTCTTTAATCACATTCCACATCTTTCCTAGTTTAAATTAATCTTCAGTGTTTTCACATTGTGTATAATTAACCTCAGTACTAGGAAACTTACTGACAGCCATGAGCGTGAACATCTTCTGAAAGGGATTAGAAAAAATCATGGAGGATAAGGCTGCTGCTACTTACTAGCCATGATGGCTGTATTTTACCTCTTTTGTTAGCCTTTCAGTATGAGTTGCTGAAGAATATGAATGGCAGAATGCTCTTCCATTCAAGTCTTGCTTATAGCCTTTCCATAATCATATGGTTGAGTAGTATAGGAGCAGAATGGTGATCTATCATCTTATCAAATGGGTTGATAGGTATTACTTTAAACTAGAGTAATTAATTTTCTCCTGCACTGTAAACATGATCCAGTTCCAATTTGACATTCCTATTAGAATGACAGTATATCATGTCAAACACATGACATGTAATAAAAGCAGTATAAGAAGCTGCTGCTTTGTCTGCTGAATGGCTGGGTGCATTGGTCTTCTGGTCAGCCAGGGTTCTTTTCTCCTTGTATTTCTTTATAACTTTTTTTTTTAATTTGTAAGCCACCCAGAGTAACTACAAAGTTAGGTGACCTCTCTCTGTGGATGGATAAACAAACAAACAAATGTTAGGTTGTTTTACCATATATTTTATATTGGTTAAACATCAGTTCTTTTATAATCTGCTTTGAAGAACAGATGAGTTGTCCAGTCCACAGAATATATGTGTAAGTTTTGTGGTGTGGTTTTCTAAAGATTTTCCCTTACTTTTAGATGCTTATGACAGTTTTAAAAGGGTAAGTTATGAAGAACACCTGGCAAAGACTTCCTGGCCTACAGCTAACTTTAATTTTGATTGAATCTGTAATCTATCTTGATTTTCATTTCGTCTGTTATTCAAGAGTACAATTCTGTCTGCATTCCCTCTACCAAGATAGACCTGAAGAATGTGTAGCAGTATGTAATTATTTAAATATAATTTCCTAATGCAGTTATTCCTTTATTTCTAGGTTTGTTTGCAAAAACAATGGAGTCTTGTTTGAGAATCAGTTGCTACAGATTGGTTTGAAATCTGAATTTCGACAGAACTTGGGTAAGTTTATAGGTTATAATGAGCTGAAGTTGTAATAATTGTTGTCTTAGGTCTGTTTTTAAGAGTTATAATGGTTTTCAGTCTACAAGTATTTCGGATACTAAAAGATAATTTCTTTGATTCCCAAAGAGATCCTCACAAATGATTTTTCCTTTGGAAAGTGAAGATTTTCAGAGAAGCCAATTATGTCCTATCAACTGACGAGCAGGAGGTTTCTGTAACTTTAACAGCCATATACAGGTAGTCCTCAGTTAATGATGGTAATTGGGCCTGGAATTTCTGTCACTAAGCAATGCAGTCGTAAAATGCAATGTCACATGACCACATCACTTAGCAACAACAATCCCAGCAGTTCCCATTGCCATTGTTAAGGAAGGACCACGTGGGTCGTTAAGTGAGGACCTCACATGACCACGATGTGGGAAGAGGCAGGAATCCAGAAGCATTTGCTTGTGCTGCTGAAACCACATCCCAGGCAACCAGGCCAGTAGGCAAGAGCTACCGGCAGGTGGGTCAGTGCTACGGAGTATGGGCAGGTGGTGCGAGCAGGCACTATGGGCTATGAGATCCCCTGGAGAAAAAGCAGCGGGAACAGGAGCAACTTGTGGGAGTGACTTGTGACTTTCTGCTGGCTTCCCCATTGACTTTCCTTAGAGAAAGTTGCAAATGGGACGCTGCAACCATCATAATTGCGAGTCGGTTGCCAAGTGCCTGAATTGCAATCACGTGACCATGGAAGTGCTGTGACGGTCACAACTTCGAGGACCAGTCATAAGTCCCCCTTGTTCAATACTGTTGTAATTTCGAATGGTTGCTAAATGACTGGGTGTAACCTGAGGACTACCTGTATTTTAGAACTCCTTGTAGTGGTTTCCATGTTTCCCAAATATACATCTAGCATGTAACATTTGTATTGAAGACAGAGATAAGCATAAACATTTTCTGTTAAAAAAAACTCCCTTTACAAATCCATATGGCATTTTGAAATCAGACTAAACATGATATAAATGCATTTTTTATGAGTATTTTTTTTAAGTTCTCAGTGGACTCTATCAATAATGTGTATCATGATCAAAATATTGCTTCTTTCTTCTAGGTCGGATGTTCATATTTTATGGCAATAAAACTTCAACACCATTTTTAAATTTTATTCCAACATTAATCTGTTCAGATGATCTTCAGTCAAATATCCTTTGTCACTTATATAAATGAGATATATTATATTCTTGAGTATAAGAATAAAATATTACAGTACATGCATTCCTTGGCAGCGTAGTACAATATGCTCACTGCTTTGTTTGGGTAGCATACGGCTTTAAAGAGCCAAAAAAAAAAAAAATGTATGAAGAGAAAAATTTTCAAGTTAGGAATGTAATTTTTATAAGAAACTAGTCTTGAGACTGTGCTTGTATAAAAGAAAATAAATACAATTTTAATTTAAGGAATAACATGGTGCAAGGGGAGATTAAGCTGCTTAAATCTGTCAACAACTAGGAGTGTGTAGTACGCTCTCCTCCATTAAGGAGAGAGAGGGAGTGAAGATGAGAACCTGAATTGCATAGACAGTTGAGAAAGAGAGCTGAATTTTAAATTACTTTAAAAAGTAAATTATGGAAGTGCTGAGAATATTAATCTAACCAATGGGAAAGACATACAAAATATGTCTTTTAGACAAGGAAAGGAGATAAAAGTGCAGAGTCCTTCTCCTAATTATCTCTACATATATTGGTCAGTAGTCTATGAGCAGAAAGCTGGTGGATGCATTCTGACATGCATTACTAAGCTAAAGATACAGAGTAAGAGTGAGGTGACAAAAAGACAATTGTATTTGGAAGGTAGATTGATCTCTTGTCTCCTCCATAACCAATCCTATGCAAATTTTGGCATATACTCTGTTTTTTTATAAGTTTATTTGATTCCTAGTGATTTCATGGACAAATGTTCACTAATTTGCTCTGTCTCTGGCAATAATTTTTAACTCTTCTAATAACATCTAATAACCTCTTTGATCCCAAACATATACTTAAACTATTTACTTCCATTCTACTTTTCTTACCATTGCCAAACGTAATACCCTTTTCTGGTCAATAATCCACTAATTTCACATGATCTAAGTATAGGAATTTCTAGTTGCTGCTCATTGCTTAAAAGAAGAAGTCAACCTTTATTTAGTTAAAAACTGTTCAATGGTTTTTTGTTTTTGTTTTTTTGCAGTTTATCATGCACCTCATAACTATCTTCAGATCCATGATTTGAAAATATCTTTTTCCCTTCATTCTTGCTTAATGTCCAGCTTTCAGAGCTGGACATTCCCAGTGGAAAGACCATTGCTCTACTTGTTTCTGACTTGACTTGTTTGCTCTCAACAATAAATTTACTAAGTAGGCAGGACAACATAACTTGTCTTCATATTTTACATGAATCCAAACTTTTCACGTGCCAATTTTACTTTCATAATGAGCTTTTTAAAATTGGTCTTTACTTTGGGCCGAGGAACATATTTGCTGCTCAGTCATGTCATCTGCGTGTCTGAAACTGCTAATGTTTAAAACTCCAAGAACCTTGATTATAAATACTACCTTATGACCTATTATAGTTAAGCTAGCATTTTGTGCACCCAAATTGAAGAAACAATATTTAGAAATGTATATGAAACTTGCTATTATTATGGTAGTCATAAGGAATTCCTGAAGCTTTTTACCATTCCTGGGCTGGGAAAGTACTCTGAGATGCAAATATGCCTGCAGTTTAGATTCTTTCCAAATCTAAATATAATAATTGGAGACAGGCCTTGAGGATGCATTTGTTCCACAAATAGAAGGGAGCTGAGCAGTATCAGGTCTGACAAGACTAGAAAGGAAATGCCTCATGGATGTAGAGGGAAGAGGAGATGGCCTTGAAAGACAGTAGGCTGTTCCAGTAAAAGTAATTTTAGATTTACATGACATTGGTTTCTTGGTTTGGTCTATCTTATAGGGCTGACAATGGACCTGATGAAAGTCGTCCTTTTCCTCTCAAAACTGCTATTTGTTTCAAGTGGAAGGCTTCTGTATCTGCCAAAGGAGATTTCTCTCCCAGGGAATATATTGGTTTTAAGTATGAGGAGCCTGATTTTTGGGGGGTCTTGCAGCATCTCTCCCCATCCTTTTCAGCACAACTTGTTTGGCCTTCAGTAACTTCCTGAAGTTAGCTGCATGACCAGACTCAATGTCTGCAAGGTTTGGCGAAAGAATAACAACAGAAAATAAACCTCTTTCCTTAACCTATCACGCCTGAATCTGCAGACTAAACCTGTTGATCCCACTGTGGAGGGGGGTGCTCAAGTGCAGCAGATTGTAAATATTGAGTGTGTATCAGACTTCATGGAAGCGCCAGCCCTAAACATTCAGTTCAGGTACAGTTCCTTAACTTTGAACATTGTTTTGCATTTAAGTGAACTTCCAGAGGAATATCTGCATTAATCTATTTCCATGAACTCAAGAAAAGTGTATTTCTGACCTTAAAGACTAACTTACTGATGATGGCGTAAGCTTTTGTGGGCTGAAGCCCCTCTTGTATAAAATATTATCCTGACTTTGGGATGAGCTAAAATTTGAGAAAAGAAATAGAAGAGGAACAAAGAGGGATGAATTAACTATTAGCAACTATTCACAAAACAAGTGGTGGACCTGCCACAGGAATTACTTGAAGGGATTAATATTGTTATCTTTTATTTCTGCTTCATACATGGGCAGTCAAATTGAACTTTTTGATGAATTCTAGTTGAACTATTTCATCAGGAAATGGGCTTGAAATTATTTTGTACAGGAATAGTCTTGAGGGCAGGTGCAAAGTTCCTGTGAATTGTTCTCCACATTCCCCTTATGAGTGTTATTTTATCACATGGAGTATTTAGATTAAGTAGTATCACTGTCTACATCTGCTGCCTTTCATTTCCCTCTTACTTTATTATCCCCCATGCCCTTCCACCACAGGAATATGCTCTTCACTTTGGATTCTCCTTCATCTGTTGGAGCATACCCTCTAAAACCTTCTGCCATCAGGCAACACCTTGGAAGCCTAGAATCTAACTGCCCAGTCTGGTCATCAAGACAGGGCCTGCTAAGAGTCCCCACTCCTTGCAAGGTTCATGGGGTGTGGACAGGGCATCAGACCTCAGTAGCGGCCTCTTGCTTTGTGGGAATTCTCTCCCCTGGAGGTGCATGAAGCTCCTACACTTTGCTTTTTGTAAGCAAGTGAAAAGCATCCTTTTCCATTGTGCCTTCAGTTGAGACGATTGGGATCAGCAAAAGTAATTTGCTTACTGTACTGACTTTACATTTTGTATTGTATGCCACCCAGAATACTTTGGGATTGGAGTGACCCCAAAATAAATAGCTTTTAAAGTCCTACAGGCTTCTTTGCTTTTAAATAACTTTACTTGTTAGAACAGTGATTTTTATACAGGGGTGATTTGGGCATATCTTGAGGGTAATGGAGCAATTTGTAGTTGCTTGTTTGTAAGTTGAGGATCCAGTTTGAGACTACTGCTGCTGAGGTACTTGTTTAAATCAGTAATCTGTTTTTTTTTGGGGGGGGAGGTAATGACGTTATTAGAAAAAGGATAATTGGGTCAAACAGTTTAAGAATCACTGCTTATGAAAAGAGAAAAGTACATTTGGATGAATTCTGATTCAGTCATTGTCTTGTATGCATCTAGCTTGCTTAGATTTTCTTTAAAAGTTTGTCACTGCCATTTCCAGATATGGAGGAACTTTACAAAACATCTCCGTGAAGCTACCTATCACACTGAACAAATTTTTCCAGCCTACAGAAATGGCTGCTCATGACTTCTTCCAGAGATGGAAACAACTGAGCAAGTAAAATGATTTTGATCTTGCACATCCTTAATTACTATAAGCTATATTACTTTTTCCAGGTTATTACTTGCATTTTAGTGAACACTGACACCTAACTCAAATGAAAAGGCAACCTCTTGCGGACATAAATTCATGATTTTTTCTATAGGAGCCAGATATGAAGTTCCACTTCATCTTTGTTTCTGTAAAGCAATTCAGTTCTGCCTTTGAGTCTACTATGAATCTTTTTTGACCATGTGCTCTAAGTTCCCATTAATTTGGGGAATGATATGATATGTTATCTCTAAAAAGAACTACCATTTTATCTGTCTAGCCACCTATGTGCCTTTTCACACTCAGTTCCAGCAGGTCGCTGGTGGCATATTGCTCTCCTTCTATCTCAACTTCCTTCTATCTCATTATTCTTCCTGGAAGATGAGCCACAGAATTGTAGTACTCATTTATAAGACAGGGATAAGTCAGACAGAAACAAGCCTACTACATTCCAGGATGCAGACTGTGCCTGGGTTAACAGAGCATATAAAAGTGTGGTTTACTTTAACTTGATTGAGTATGTCACAGTGGTTCACAATAAGTTCACACAACATGCTAAACACAACCAATCAAACTACATTAAGGATTAGCATCATACATGAACCCAGTGATTACCTCTATGGTTTATAGGGCTCCAACCTATCAGAAATGTTCTTCGATGTGGCTCATGTGTTGAAGGGGTGAAGAGATTTAATCTGATGTTATATTGGCCATGCTATTCTGAAAATTCAGAATGTCAATATCAGGACTCACGTATTCATCTATAGTTAGGCAACCTTCATACATTGTCAGAAATAGAATGTTCCAAGTTGTTCCAACTTACTGTTCAGAGTTGTTTAGTGTAATGTGGACTATTGTTGATCTCATCTTCTCTTTTAAAGGGGCTAAAATTAAATATAGAATTGTTTAATAAATTGCAAGTATTGATATAGCAGAAGCTAAACAAATGTAGTCCTTCAGCATGTTCAGTTAGATTGATTTTAGTGTCAGCTAAATTCCTGGAAAGTATTTGACACTTCTTCGATCTCTCTGTTCATATAGCTAAAGGGCAGCCTACCTGAAAGATACCTGTTTTTGGTTCATTGGTTAGCCCATTACTAGGTGAAATCCTGCAAGGGAAACTAAGGCTCATTGTTTAGGGGAAGAGTGCCATAAACATGCATGTAACAGATTGCTACTTCCATGTAAAATGTCTCTACATTCTCTCATACATGTTGTGTTGTAGAAATATAATAAATATGAGCTGCTAATGTCAACTCTTGATGTTCTACACAGCCCTCAACAAGAAGTACAGAATATCTTTAAAGCAAACCATCCAATGGATACTGAAATTACAAAGGCAAAAGTAGGTATAATGATTTATGTTTCCTCTTACCTGGATGTTTATATCCTGCCTTCTAGCACAGTTGCTTCTATGACATCAGAAACTTTACAATAATGAAAATAAAGCCATTGCCATTAATTAAAAAAAACAAACTGAAAATGATATTAAAGTAAGGCCAGAACTTTTCAGCAGTAGGTTGGCATGAAAGGAGAGTGAAGATTTATGCTGTGGAAGGAGTTATATTTCTAATTACTGGCAGGAAAGGGTTAAAATGATAAAACAGCCACTCTATATGGAAATGTGAGGTCCTTTCAGGGATAATAGTGGAGGAACAATTGGCTTTTTGCCATGTATTGTTATAAAGAAAAGCCAGAATGGAAGTTTCTGCAACTGGCCATTCTAAACAGACGTACCTCTGCTCTTGAAATTCTCAAGAATTTGATAGGCCACTTCCATAAGCTATCAAACGTCCTCTTGATTTTTGCATCCAAAAAATTGAACTATAGGTTTGAGGTCATTTTTGCCATAGTTATAACCTAAATATAAGAATGGCAAATACATGTACATTTTAAAAAATAACAGAATGAAATGAAGTAACAGAAGGATTTTTTTAAATGTTTGAGCAGATAATACATTTCCCAGCACCAAATGGGTACGCTTCAGAGTGAACAGCTCCTCCTCTTTCCCACACACACAAAAAAATCCATAGATATGGGGTCACACCTGACAGCCCTTTCTCCAAGCAGCACCTAATTAATCTCTTGAAGATAGGGAGAACTGGAGAGAGTCTCTGGGTAAAATCATCTAGTGATTATGGAGTGAGAGAGAAGGTGGTAGAATCATACCATGGTCCTAATCCTGAAGCTCCACAGTTTCCATCAGCCTCAGACTGACATTCATCCTTGTTGCACAGGTATCTGTAGGGAGAAAACTCTGCATAAAAGTTTATACATCTATATTTTTCTCTTGTAAATGTGAAACATGGAAACAGCTAAAGTTTCATTCTGTTCTGCCAGCATGGGTATTTAGGTTCTTCTTAATTTTGGAGTCTTTTTTTCCTTTGCCTCTTGAAGGATTCTGTTGTATTCATTAGGAAGTAGAAAGCTGTTAGTGGGATGCTGTGTGTGCTTTCCAAAATAAAAAGGTTTTTAAAAATTTAAACATAGAACTGATGAACTATCAGATCTCAAAAAGAGGGGAGTTTACAAGCTTATTTCTTCACTAGCAGCCTTTTGTTAATCAAAATCTGTTCAAAATAAGTCCACACCACACACCATGCGCACTTTGACAAACTTTGAAATGTATCATTCCCTCGTCTACATTTTTATTAGTTGGTTCTCTAAAATGGAAGCTGTTCTCCCAAGAAACAAAAAATAAATGGGTTTTATCAAATTATTCCTTTTCACTATCAATTAAATATTTATTACTTGTAGATGGAGTAGCTGTGTCAACCAGAAGTGAACGCTGCTAAGCTTTGAAGTTTGCACATTTGGTTATTGAACACCAAGGAATTTTGTTTAGATTTTTTCAGGAAATCAAGTGTGGTGCTCAGTGTTTCACAGTATTACCACTATTGTTCAAGAAATCCCTGAACAACCATATCTTTGGATTTACATGCTAATGCCCTAACTTAAGTAGCCATGAGAGCCAGAGATGGGTATGGAGTAGGGATATGCAGTACTTTGAATCCAAAGCTGAAAAGGTGCTTCAGAATGAAGGTGGGTGCACATGTTGCATGTTAACATCTCCTTAAAGAAGTTATATCTTCTCATGGGCTTTGCAGAGGATCCTATAGAAGAAATTTCTCCATAGAGTTCTTTAATAATGGGGATTGGACACACTCTTAACTGAAACATAAATTGTTTATTACATTGGCAGTCCCCACATCTGCAGTCAAGACGCCACTCAGTGGAAACCTGGAGGAAACATTTCTTAATACTTAAATATATTCAGCACACAATTAGGGATCAACAAAGTGGAGAGGTGTCCCTCTGCTGGTGGCCACCAGCCAACACAAAGGGAGGGGGACCACAACTTTACCAATCTGTCCCCCATTGAAGAGCACCAAATACTCCAGAAGTGCTGTATCACCTCTGTGTTCTTCCCATCCTACTGCTGCCACCAAAATCTAGGAGAAATTCCTCCATAGAGTTTTTTAACATCAGAGATCAGACACAATTTTTCATTGAAGCACAATTGTTTGGTATGGTACCAGAGCAGCAAGGGCTGACCTAAAGAGGAGCGGAGCTACAACACCATTTTATAATTTATGCCAATTACTACACGCATATGTTCAATACAGCAGGACAGTCGACTGGCTATGGCAGTATAATGTATGTTGAAGGGGTAAGGGTCATGAGGTAATAAGGCACTATAAAGACACCAACCTCCTTGAGAAAGACAAAGGCTCTGTTCTTTGAATAAAGTTGTGTAATTTGTTCTAGGTGTTACCTTTCAGGGCCTTGCTTCCCAGGCCTATTCTTGTCTCATAGTGCCCAAATCAGCATTCTTTATGTCTAAACGTTTTATGGCTGATCTGGTAGTTTATTTTATCTGGTAAAGTCTGTTTGGGTAATTGATTTTGCCATAATAATACCATCTTTCTTTCTTCACCCAAACTGCTGCATCTCCCTAGTATGGAAGCTATCTGAGTCTTAATTAAGTGTGTGTTTAGCGTTCTGATCAATCTATCATATACTTTTTATACGCCCTCCTTCCTTTCTCCATTGGCATTTTGTCCAATGGCCTTCAGTTCAATTTTACTTATCCTCTTTTACAGATCATTGGCTTTGGCACAGCTCTGCTAGAAGAAGTGGATCCTAACCCTGCTAACTTTGTAGGTGCTGGTATAATACACACAAAATCAATACAGATTGGGTGTTTGATGCGTCTTGAACCCAATCTTCAGGCAGAGGTAATCCATGTTTATTTGCTTGTTAAATTGAGAATGTATATAGTATGAAAGACTTAATTTTTCCCATGTGTATTTTTACAGAAATCCCTTCTTCTAAAGTAGAATGGAATTTCTAGTTGTGTTTTTTTATTCCATTAGTGGTATAAATATTCCTCCTTTTATTGACCTTAGTGCAAACAGTGTTTCATTGAAGATTGTGCTCTAACAATATATGCGGTAGCTGAGTGGCGCCAACTGAGACAATGCATACTTTTTATAGCTCTCCAATTTTTTGCCTTGTATTCTTTGTGCAGCCTATATATAGGATTGAGTCTCTGTAAAGTTACATTCAGAGCACTCTATGATAATAATCTGGAAGTTCACTTGCATTGGAGTGGGGTGGAGCACTGTCCTACTCAGGTTTGGTTTGGGTTTTTTGTACTGAAAATTCTCCAAGTGAAACTCATACCACCTGAGCTTTTATTTTCTTATTTTAAAGTGTTTGTTTTTCTTTTTAGTTTGGGACAGCTTAACTGAAGTTGTTTTCTACCCCATCTCTCTTGCTTGTGGGTGCCAGGAAGTAAATTTTATTTTCTGTCCACAACTGTGTGCAACTGTAAATATTGCGGCACATGATTATACCACAACATGTAGCACTACCACTTGTGAAATGTACATTTAGATGGTGTAAGAAGCATTGTATAACAGCCAGATTTGGGGGGGGGGAGGGAGTAAAAGTTTGCTGAGTAAGGGAGAGGTCTTAATATTCTAAAGCAGGGATGTGCAACTTCTTTAAGTCAGTGAGCCTATTTGGAATTTTGGAAGCAAATTATAGGTTCTTTCACAAAGTGGTTGTTGCACCCATTGACCAGAAGGACAAAGAGTAAGGTTCCTTCTCACTATAAGTGCTCTGTAGTACCCATTTCTATTTTTTCTGGGCACACAACTATCCGCCACTTCTATTTTCTAAAAATACCTAGAAGATCTAAGAATGTAAGTAAAGATAAAGCTTGACAGTAATGCTTAATTTTTCAGCTCAGCTCATTTTCTTTTATCCACAAATACTAAAATACATCAGCATCCCACTAACTGCTTCTGCTCTAAGACACTGAACTCTTTCATAAAAAGATAGCCTCTTTTCCACTTAAGCTAATTAAAATTTTCTTCAAAAGTTGAGACTAGCTGAGTTCCCCTCCACTGCATTTCCTTTTTGTTTAATCTTAAACATCGAGCCATTTTATGATTCTAAAACATCTAAAGTTGTTACCAAAAACATGTATAAGCAAGGTAGAAATGCTTATACATGCATGGAAACAAATAGCTTTTCAGAAGCAGTTCAAAAAAGTTATTTTTTATTCTTTTTCAGATGTATCGACTAACACTACGAACAAGTAAAGAAACAGTCTCACGGAGATTATGTGAATTGTTGTCAGAACAATTCTGAATCTTAACTGAAGACCAGCTTTGATTTTTCATTTTTGCCTGTATTCTTGTCTTGCTCCAGAAATGTCATGTGCACTGGTGTCCGCATAAATAACTGCCATCACATTCACATTCCTGCCTTAAAGGACCTGTCCCTCTTGTGTGAATAAAAGATATGTGTAATGTAAAGTTACCTAAATGTGAAAAAAATGGCTGTTAGATTTCTGGTGCAAAGAGGCATTGTGTGTGTCAACTCAATTCTTTCAGGCATTTTGTCAGAAGTTGGTTTTATGATGACTTACTCTGAATGTGATTAACAATGATCTAAATGAAAGGGTTGTTTTTTTCCCTTCTGGAAATTTCAGTATAAATTGCTAGTAACATTGTGGTCTCGTTTCCTATTACCGTATTGCCCCAGCAGTGCTCAATAAAGTTCTATTTGATGAGACAGCAGTAGCCATCTTGCTGCTGTACTCTTCATCAACTTTAGATGGATCAACTTTTGAGAATGTCCAAAATGCATCAACTGGGTGTGTGGGGAAGCCAATACTGTTGCAATGAATCTCACTGGTGGTGCTTTTTCAAAAAAGGCTATGACCAATGGCCTTGAGTCCAGTATGTAGAGGCATAAGGGTATTATTTCACTCTAATCTCAAGCAAATTGTTTTAAACAGCTTTAATTCACCCTTCCTCCAAATTATGAATTACCAAAGAGTAAATATCTCATCAAATACTGAAATAAAGATTCAGAATTCTTAGATTCACCATTTCTTCAGAACTCTAGTTAATTCTTTGTTCACTGGAACTGTAAATTTTTAAAAAATCATGTGGAGCTACACTAAAATTTTCCTATAGAACTTATGTTTCTACGTTCTCTGGCCCCGGCTATTGATATGCAATTTCAGTTCATTAGCATATGGATGGATCATATAGATACAGAAGTCTAGTATATTCAGGTCCTAAATAAATCATTAGCCTTTGAAAGTATAATGACCTGATAATTGTTTTTTTTTTTGACACCAAAACACTTTCAGAAGTTGAGTGCCCTATTTTCAAAAAGTCTGTCGATATGATCTACTTGGCATGAGATACACATTTGTAATATATTATAGAAATTCAGCCTGACATCCTTTTTAACAAGAAGAACTAAGCAGGTTTCAATCACACTTCTCTGAAGGGATTTTAAAATGGTTACTGCAGTCATTCAGTAAAGCAAGAAAAAAAATGAGCCATAGCGTCTCTGCTGGGTTGCGCAATAATGTCCTTGGATGTTTGATGAGGTTTTTTTTAAGAGAACATCTCATGTCTGACTCCAGATTCCTCTAATTTCGGTACTGAATTACTGTTTTGTGCAAAGTTCTCCAGCCAAATTTGGTGGGCTCCACTGAATTAGCACGTCTTAATGAATGAAATGGCATGTAATTTGGTGATATAATAAAACTAGGATAACTTTCAATATTGCCCTATGATTGGAGAAATTCTAAGAGTGATCATTAGGACACAGAGATTAACTTGTCACCGTTTTTCATATGGAACTGGAAGCCATTAAAACAAGGGGTAATTAGAAGCTTGTCATATAACATATTAAGAAGATCTGCCATTTAATTTTTAAAAGTGCAGATCTGAAAGCATTGGGGTTGCACTTATTTAATGCCACATCAAAGTGCTGGTGGTGTTCACTGTACAATTGTTGTGAGCAAATGTGATTTATCCATAAAAAGTTGAAGATTCCAAATAGCTGATCAGCTGTTCATATGAATTGTGTTTCCCTGATAGGGAACAGAAAATTGAAGTACAGGTATATGCAATTTATCTTTATTGGGATAAATTACTTGATTACCAAAGTTATATATCCTCTTTATCAAGCAGAAATAATACTTTTTGTGGCTAAAACAGTATTAGTAATCGAAGCACAGTATTTGTTAACGACATGTGAAAGATTTCTCAGCAGGAAAATAAAATGTTGTAAAGTTAGGCCTACACTCCAGTATCTATGTTTAACCATTTCACTATAAAAAAATTAATTGTGAGCTTATATGGTCAACTTCCATTATAAGTATATAAATTTGAAAATACATAAATCTAAACATGTTACCTTTAGCAGAAAAAAATAAATGGCTAGAAGAATAAAACTCATGTTTCTGATTTTCACTTTTAAGAACTTTCACTGCATCTATTTTTTTTTTAAATATTATTATTGCATTTCTGTCACTCCTCTGGAACCTTAAGCAGCATACTAAGATCGTTCAATCAGTCTGTTCAAGACCAGTAATACTAAATGTATAATACAGTTTAAAAATTGTAAGCTTATTTAAATATTAACCCAACTTCCTAATTTATTTTCTGCATGGCTGGTGTGGGTCTTCCGGGCTGTGTGGCCGTGTTCTGGAAGTTTTGTTTCCTAATGTTTTGCCAGCACCTGTGACCGGCATCTTCAGAGTGCAGGAGCACAGACAGGAGCATAGAATATACAGGACTTTAGTAACCAAATTTATCTTAAAGGAAGATACTTTAGTAACCAAATTTATCTTAAAGGAAGATACTTTAGTAACCAAATTTATCTTAAAGGAAGATACTTTAGTAACCAAATTTATCTTAAAGGAAGATACTTTAGTAACCAAATTTATCTTAAAGGAAGATACTTTAGTAACCAAATTTATCTTAAAGGAAGATACTTTAGTAACCAAATTTATCTTAAAGGAAGATTCTATAAATACCCACAGAAGGGTCACATCGCCCTGGGCACAGAGAGAACTGCTCCTGTCTGTGCTCCTGCACTCTGAAGATGCCGGTCACAGGTGCTGGCGAAACGTTAGGAAACAAACCTTCCAGAACACGGCCACACAGCCCGGAAGACCCACACCAGCCATCGTATGCCGGCCGTGAAAGCCTTTGACAATATTTTCTGCATATTTTTATATAATTTAAACGTTAAAATATTACTTAAGGGACACTGAAAGTATGTAGATACAATGTCTATTATTTCTTGCAGAGATATTTATGATACAACTTCAGTGGAAAAACAGTGAAGTCCAATCTGTATGATAGTTCCCATACCATATTACATTGCATAATAATTTTACATAGATCAACAGACTGATTAGATAGAATATAGTTAGAAATTCTATGCAATTTAAGTAGTAAACCAACTGCTGCTGAAAAGTGAGCATAGAATATACAGGACTTTAGTAACCAAATTTATCTTAAAGGAAGATGCCCCAAATTTAAAATGATCCTATTTCTACCACCTCAAAGGAAAATTAGACTTTTAGTTCTTCCTCTACCTCTGTTTATCTAAGATACCCTTTCCATTTTAAACTAAATTAATTGGAGAAAAGCTAATCTTGTCAGGTAAATACAGTGTTTGCATTTAACAAGATGGTAGGAAACAAGTTGTCCCCTTGTTCACAACAGCATACTACAGACAAGTTGTTGCTCCCAATTTCAAGTCAACTGAGCAGTGACAACTGATTCCCTGGTGCCATTGGGACCGGAAAGACCTCTCTCTGCTTTCCATGCAGTCCAATTTGGCATGTAAGGTGAAGATGTGGAAGGCACAAGTGATTTTAATTCTGTTCAGGCCTAGGAGATTATGGTTCATCACCCAAGGATGGATGAGTAAGGAGTCCTCATGGCATCTCCTGACGTGCCCAGGCATCCCATCTCAAGACCTGATCTGGTCTAGAACAGCCACAACTTGGCATCTGGAAATTAAACAGGAACATCTGCATTCTAGCCTTCTAGACCTTGTAGTAAAAACTCATGCAGCATCTAGGCACTTAGCTGCCACCAAGATCTATTAACTGACGGAGTGTCAACAGCAATGCAAAAGACAGTCTCATGGCACCAGCAGCAAGGTTCCAGATCTATTGGAATTCCTACTGTCAGGCCTGGAGAGCAGGCTATTAGGTAATACAGGAAGCTGCCCTGGACTTCGTGTTGGTGGGTAGGTGAAAGATCCACTATCAGGAGCTGGGGGAGGGAATCCATTACTCTGGTGTATTTAGCCAGCAAGAAACAATTCCTCTTGTGCATCAAAGTTCATGTGGTCAGGGAAGTGGCTACATCTAGACTGTTAGCAGCAGGTCTCACATTTGAGATGTGATGTCATAAACATTTGCTTGAGATGACATAATAAACATTTGTTGGGCAGCTACCTAGGCAGAACCTATGATGTCATTTCAGATGACAGAATAAACATTTGGGCAGCTACTTAGGCAGAACCTTCTACATTCATTAAGCTTTATAAAGGGTTTTTGTTTTGTTTTTTTGCTTTTTTGCTTTTGTGGAGTTGAGCTTTAGGTTCATAGTGCTTCAGAGAATATTTTAACCCTACTGACTCAGCTTAGGAATACTGTATTGTTGTAGTATATCCCTTTCCTGTTGCCCCCACCATAAGTGATTGAGAATAGCGGTGGGATATACCACAAAGAATTGTGTTCTGCTCACTGAAAAATAGATCTGACAGCCCACCCTGCAGCCAGGGGTTAGATTCAGAGACAGTTTAGGTGACTGAGGATAAAAGAGTTAACTACTTTATTGTGTTTGCTGATTGCTACACACACATCTTTCATTTTCCTGTGTGTTCGTGCTGGAGGCAAGCCTTTCTGTTATTTCAGTGAATTAAGTACTGAAGTTGAGCTTCCCTCAGCTGAAACTGAAGGGTTTCTTCCCTGAGGTAGGAAGAAATCTTAAGGCCTACCTTCAACAAAGAAGAGGTAGAGTTAACTTTACACCATTGGATCCACCAGACAGTGACCAGAAAGGTATTTTATGGCAAGCCTAACTACTTTTAATTTCATACTGTTTTGCTTTTTCTTTCTCCCCCTTCACACTGTGGGACAGTTACCTGTGTTTCTATAGGCTATGTATATTTGTGTCTTATCTATCTTCAGCTCAGTTAGGTGTTTCATGTATTTCTAGCCCTTCTAGATTCTTAATATCTTCCACTCCTAAATGTCTTCCATAATACTTGCACTTTCTGTCTTATAGTTTATTACCCATATTATTTCTCTAGTTAATAAAATACCTTCAACCTGAATACTGAGGAGCATGGAAAGGAAAAATACTGAGGAGCAGGACAGCAAAGATGTATTCACCCATAGCCAACCCTTCTAGGTTAGCCGACATCTAACCTTGGTAACCTATTAACTGTATTCACCTGTAGTTGACATCTCTTGAGAAAACAAAAGA